AAGGGTATTTTAGTAATTACACACTTAATCGGGGCGGGGCGGGGTGTAACGACTCGGTCATTTGCCTTCCTTTTCTTTTTCTTGAAATTTTACGAATGAATTTTTTTCGTTTAATTTTCTTTTCTGAGCTCTGTTTCGTGTCGTTTAGTGTCATCTCGAGTGCTCGAAATTGGTTCCTGAGACTCTTTTCCGTGGATTGACAACTTCCTTAGAGGACCGAGTCATTTTCACATTTTTCGTTTTTCGACACTATGCGTTATTTCGTCCTTTTCCCTATTCTGTCTTATCTTCGTTTGTCAGTTTTTGGCACAACCTCACTTCTCATGCTCGGAGTTGGTTTTTGACTTCACGTGCCTTCATCTTGAGTGGTTTTCTCGAAATACGTATATTTACTTTTGCAAGAAAGTACTCTCTGGTTACTCCCGGTGCCCACAGGGGTATGGATGCACAATTCTTTAGAATCTTTTTCATTTCTTGGGGTGTTTTTCGTAAATATCTTTTGAAGATATTTTATTTCAGGGGTATCTAAGAAAATATCTTTTGAAAGATATTTTCATTCTGGGGCAGTTTCGCAGTTAACCCTTTTTATAGGGGTCATTGTGCAATTAACGAAAGTTATTGCAAAATGTCTTGTCTGGAGCTTGGATCCTCGTACAGGATTCATTTTCACATTTTGTCGAGTCGTGGATTCTTAGAGTTCCGTTCTGGTCGTTTTTCTCCAGTTTCAGAGTTTCTGGACCCGGTTGTCGTCGAACTTGTTCGGGGCATAACTTTCTGCTCGGGACTCAGTTTTCGACGCCGTTTCTTCCGTTGTTCATATTTTCTCATGTTAAATCTTTTTTGTTCATGGAGCTTTGCTGTTTAAGCGCGTCTGCTCAAAATCCACTTTTTCAAACCCGGCGGGGCACTTTTTTGTGATTTTTTAGAAATAGGGGGTTTGAAAAATTAAAACATAATTTTCCTCTTTTTCCCCACACGTTCTGGACCAGATCTCATTCCCTTCCATGGCTTCCATCTTCTCTCTCCTCTTTTGGTTCACTTTTCTTTAATGAAAAGTCTTCGGCCTTAACGTTTAATGTTTGTCTTGACGCCGCGCATCTTATGCCCTTATTAAAATCCATTTCCGACGATTTTTCGAGTTTGGGTTTGGAGTCAAGTTGAGATTTTCATGGGGCTTCTTGCAGATTCTTGTTCCCGGGGTAGTCCCAGACAAAACCTCTCGGTATTGTCGGATTCGAAGCACTTTCGTTTTGGTGGGGATTTGAGATTTTCATCTCAAATTGAGGTAGGGGATGTTCTAGGATTAAATTCTTGTTATGTAGCATGCTTGTGATGCTTATACTACTTGTTTGCATGATTAAATATAAAATCTAGAGATTTTATTATTTATTTTTCTTGTACGGGATTTAATTTTCCCAGTTGCTCATGACTTGGTTTAAACATGTAACATGATTTTATATTACCCCTTGATATGTTCATTGTCGTGTATTAAAATTGGAACATTTGAATAAGTATTAAAGATTTTATTTAATATTTATCTTTAGTGAAAGATTAATTCACATGGCCTTAACTAGCTTGAAATCAATATGTGTTAGCATATTAAATTAGACCTTAGCATGCTCTCCAACATAGTTGAATTTGAAAGTAATTGGAGGTGTTTTGAAAATTAGTAATTATTAATTAATTTAATTAATTAATTTGCCCCGAGTGCACTATTCACTCTATTTGAATTCCCGAATTGATATTCTTGATTTACATGCCATATACCTTCACATATATTTGATTTAGAATATTCGGTTAGGTTTTGAAACCTTTTATTTAATTAAATTCCATGTTTAAGATTTAATCCTCATGGTGATATACAACTTGGAATTGTATTGTGGCATGCTAGAAAATTAAGTTTTGGTATGATTGTTCACATGTATTAAATTGGGATTTATTGCATGAGAATTACAACTTTTGTTTTATATTTAACTTTAGTGAAAGTTTAATTCGCATGGTCGTAAATTGAATGAAATAAACTTGTAATGTGATATTACAATAGTCCTTGGCATATTTTCCAACATAGGTTAATTTGAGAGCATTTGGTTGAGTTTGAAAATCTAGAGATTTTAATTAAAAGAATTAATTAAAATCTATTTTGTGGTCTCATTAGCTTAATTAAGGTTTTAACTTGATATTTGTATTGGCCATGACTTGTTTACTAGTATATATTAATTTAGGACTATTTGAAGTTGTTTTAGAACCTTGGGATTTAAATTAGCATGATTTAATTAAAGTTCTACCTTGTTGTTGTATTTAAACTTATGAGCTTATGTTTTCAATATTGAATATATTGTTATCTTGCGTAATGATTTGCACACTTCATATTTAACATCATTCATGCATAGCGTGTAACGAATCGCACACTGAAGATTCGACATTTATCATATCATATTAGTTGTGGACTTAGAGCATGTATTGTATAGGTTTCCAAATTTGGTTGTGCTTGGTAGATAGTTAATTATCTTGCATATTCCTGTTGATATATGCGTTGTTGCACAACTTGTTGATTTTGAAAACTTAAGGATGTCGTTGTTTGGCTATGGCTAGGACGTGGTTCTAGTACCGGGGATAGTCCCTCTATGTAGTCTAGTGCGCACATAGGGAGGTTACCCATGGGCTAGTAACCCTAAAGTAACTATGTTGTCGGTCTAATCCGGCGTGACGTCCGAGTATCCACTTTGTTTGATTTCGCATTTCATTTTCAAGTTGATAACTAGATGATGTTGTAACTTGTTGTTTCTTATTTGTCGTTCCATTTTAAGTTACATGATGTTAACTTTGCGAAATTGTGCTTTATGCGTTGTATTGGAAGTTCCAATGTTGGTTAAATTGCATCGATATTGAAAATTGTGTTTTGACATTCTAACAAAGCTTAGGATTGATCCTATTGATTCATTTATAACTTAGACGTTAGGTGGCATGACCCACTTCTGTTGTTTTCGTGCTTTAGTTTTCAAGCTGATAGCTTTAAGAAATTGTATTTTGTTGCCTTGTATAATATGCTTTTATGTGGTTAGATTGCATTGAAGTTGTAAATTGCGTTTTGATTGTTCAGCATGGCCTAGGATGATTCCTTAGACTTATTTAGAACATAGACGTTAGGTGACATGATCACTTTAGTTGTTTCTGTATTCGAGATTGCAAGTTAATACATTTAAGAACCTATATCTTGTTGCTTTGTATAACGTGCTTCCATATTGTTTAAATGGCATAAATGATGTGATTTATGCTAGAAACACTCTAAGGTAGCTTAGGATGCTCCCTGAGTCTCATTTCGATATAGACATTAGGTGGCATGAACCCCTTTAACATGTTTCACCTTAAGGTGATAAATTTGTAAAATGCTAGGTCGATGCATGCTCATCTCCTACGAGTAGCTTTATGTTACTCACCCCTACGATACTGGGGCATATTTCAAGTATGAAGACTTGGTTCGTGACGCCTAGCATTCCTTGGATGTCGTGTAGCTTTCAAGTTTCCATTTCATGCAAATGTTAGCATGAAATGTTATTTTGTAGACTTATATGTTAAAATATGTATATTTGATTCCATGTATGTAATGTGTACTTAAGTACACTCCTTTCAATGTATTTGATATGTACGAGATGAGGCCGGAGGCCAATGACCATTATATTGTATTCTATGTACTTTTTAACTTCATGAAATATTGTGAAAATCTTGAAAAATCGCAAGTCATTGCTTCACCATGGTTGTTTCGAGTGTGGGAATTCCATTCTCATTCTTTCATAGGGTCTCATAAATCATGTTTGAAGTGTGGCCAAGGACCAAACGGTCATTTGACCCCATTTTGTATTTTTGGATTCCGAGTTTTTATTCCAAATTCCATTTTTGCCTTTTTGCCCGTTGGGGGGTCGGATTTTGCATCGGTGGTATTTTTAAGTCATGGACCATTGTAGCACGTCCTAATAGGTAAGTTACGTTTGCGTGCATGGTCGTTTCCGGGTAAAACCTCATCCTTGGTGATTTGAGCCTCTTGTGAATTCATTTCGCACTTTTTTTGCATATTCTGATCTAGGGGCATTATAGACTTTTCACTGTGATTTTATTTTCTTCTTTCAATATGGTTGAATAGAAAACATGATTTTAAGGGGGGTTTCTTTTTCGTGTTTTTCCAGAAAATGTCGTCTTGATATCGGAAATTGCTTATAAAGTTTAGCTCTCAGTTTTTCAATTTAGCAGCTTTTTGGACCTCCATGACCAGATTTCATGGAGGGGCATTTCGGGCATTCTACATTGCGTTTTTTTTTTAATTCTCTCGCAAATCATGTAGAAAACTCAAATTTGAGGGGGGTTTCTTCTTTGTGTTTTTTTTAACTTGACTAATTTTTCGCTGTCTTTCCAACGGTGTGCTCGGTTGCACCCGGTTCTTCTTGGATAATTACCAGATTACCCTTTTTGCCTTAAGTGCTCGTTTTTCTTCGTCATGCCGTTTCTCTTTCGTCCGGACTCCGAATCATGCGATTCTTGAGTCCATCTTGATTAGTTTTTCGTTGTTCTTCCAGCGGTGTGCTCGGTGGCACCCGAATCTACAGTTTTTAGAAATGACTATTTTGCCCCTGGGGGCTTATTTGTCATATTTTCGATCTTTTGCTTCCGCATCAGTTCTTGTTGAGTTCCACGACCTCATGGAAGGTCACTTTGACTTCTTAGAATCTTGTCTTCTGTTTTCGCTTCCTCATTCGGATCCGTTATCGAATCATCCTTACGGTTCATCACAGGACACGCTGGCCTAAAAAGCAGGGTCGTCTCATGGGGATACCCTATCCCCGGCCCCGGCCCCGGTGGGTTTTCACCATTTATTCCCATCCCCGTCCTCGTTTACATAAAAGGGTCCCCATCCCTGCCATAAAAAGGGCGGGGCGGGGCCCCAGTGTGAATGGGGAATTTGCAATCCCTATATAGGGTTCCTTATTCCTCCATTCATCGCAGTAACATTTAGGTAGCTTATCTTTTTGGCGGCTATAAGTGAAAAAGCTTTCAAAGGGAAAAGAGATCCGATAGGAGTCGAAGCTTGAACTCATGATTCGGTATTCGATTCACAGTGCAATCGGATCTTAATCTGCGCCTAACCCAGGTGAAAGAATCAATCGATATACCATGATTACCTCCCAAAAGGTGCTTGTATTACCAGATCAGCTTGTGACCCGTTGGATCTGGGTTTCGGACTGGTCAAGGGTTCGATCCGGTACTTGCTCATCTTCAAGAGGTATTTGTATTGTTTCTATTCTGTGTCTAAACCCATTATCACCTGTTTCTACTACTAATATAGTAGTAGTTCCATTTACTGCTTCATCTGGGTTTAATTTATTCCATCAAATGCCAACTCTGCCCTCGATTGTTGAGTTTGCTAAATTAATAGGGTTTAATACCGGAATGAAAGATTATTCGATTGTTGAGTTGGCTAAATTAATAGGGTTTAATACCGGAATGAAAGATTATTCGATTGTTGTTTCTCTGTACGATGAAATTCATACAAATGATGGATGAAGACATACTTGCGTGCTAAAAGCATTACCTGGAGTATTGTCCACTAGACGGTGTAATTTGGCAGCAGACTACTGTGCAAGAGCCGCTTTTAGGGGAGCCTCAAAGAAAAGAGCTTATATTACAGGAAACTGAAAAACCTCACTATCTTTTTAACCAAAAGATATTGTTACATGAGTTAAATTAAGAGCTTATGTTACAGGAAACCAAAAGATATTGTTACATGAATTAAATTAATTTTCGGCATCCAATTCTCTCTACAAATAAATCTATTATATCAGATGTTTTTTTGTCCATCCTCACGATTTTATATCCGATGGGACTTTCTCTTTTTCTAATCTAATTCCTTTCTTATTGATGTTCTTATCCATCCTGTCATCACCTTATACGACAATTGATTTTGATTTTTTATACACCCACATTTTACTCTACTTTGGGTCATAAATTATTTATCTCTACACCCTATTCATCTGACGGTAGATATTGGAGCCACACCCTACCTTATTTTTGGACAAGAGAAAGCATGGATTCTTTCTCTCGGGATCTTGTTTGCATCTTGACAATTTCCTCTGCTTTGGGATATGATCGAATCTACACCATTTCATTTTCGACAAACATTATAAGATCTTTTGCTGTTATGAAATCCAAATGATGAATGAAGAATATGCCATGAGCTTCGCAATCAACTGATATTTTCACGAGTGAAATTATATAGAGGTCATCCAATTCTCTTTACAGATAAAGCCTTTATAATCTTTATTATATCAGATGCAATTGCTTTTTCTCATTCACGATGTTTTGGTTCATTCTCACTGATATTCTTATCCATCCTGACTTCACCGGATTTTGATTTTTTATACCCACATCCTACTCTGTTTTTGGACACTCCTCATCCCACTTTATGCAGAAATAGTATGTGTGATGGTATTCTTGCTCCCAGGATCGTGTTTGCATCTTGACAATTTCCTCTGCTTTGGGATATGATCAAATCTACTCATGGTGGTGGCATTTTCGACAAACATTATAGGATCTTTTGCTGTTCTTCTAGATCAATCACATAGAGGAAATAGTTATGTTTTTAATATGTATCAGTCATGTTGTCCATAACATTGTTGTTGTACGCAAATAATAAATTTGTTTCATTGTTGTTTAATTTGTTTCATTTATTCAATTATCATTTACACTCGTGTACTCATGATATACTTTATTGATCTTAAAGTGTGACTTAATGGTTGTGGCTAGTGTACTAATGATAATACTCTTTGGAGAGTCCAAAAAGGCATTGACACAGTAATTCCCTTCAAGAAGATTCATTTGACTTTACTATTCATGTAGTATTTGATGGGGTGAGTTGTTTAGTCATCCCTAGACATTGCATTTAGATATAAAAGATTTGTTTTACCTTTTTTTCTCATTTTTTTTTCTTTCTTTTTTTTGTTTTAAATTTTAGTTTCCTGAGTACTATTCTTGTATTAATTTCGGATTAATTTTAATGAATTTCATGAAATAAATTTACTGGATTCAAGTATTATTATATACCTTTGTGTGCTCATCATGTTTATAAAATGTAAACATCAAGTCAAATACTATTTTTTTTTTTTTTTTTTGTTTTTCTTTTGGTATTCATTATAAGTTCAAAACATATGCTGGACCGCCTTATCTTTAAAGTCAAGGCATGATGGAAAGAATTTATAACAACTACAACGTAAGTTTAGAAGCCTCAAATTGGTGATTTGGCTATCCTAAACTTTCGTCTTGTCTGTCTGCTCTATTGTCCTGGTTTTGCTTGGAATGGATGTGATATAATAGGGTTTCAATGGTGATTAGTTATACTAAGTGCAACAGCAGCTAAGAAAAGGAACTTCGTGTTTTTTTTCTTTGATTTTTATTTTTATTTTTATTTTTTAATTTTTTTGGGGAAATTCAGATCAATTGCCATTTTTTTGTTGATGAAAAACTAGATGAACATGATTTGGAATTTATTTGTGTTTTAGATGGCTAGAAACTTGGTTATGACAAAAATATTCTCCTCTTGAAAAAGTATCTAATGGATTACACAACAGGTGACTGAGTATACTGTTAGCCAACCTCATGTCCTCTTTTTAGGACTTGGATTCTATCCCTCCAAGAGAAAGAGACACCATATGAGCTAAGTGCATAATTAAATGTACTCCTTTTCTTCTTTTTCTTCTTTTTTTTTTTTTTTAAATGGTAAAGCAAATACATACTTCTTTTTTGCTTACGTCCAAACTCGAACCCCTCTCTCGTTGAGAATGAGGAGTTTATAGTTTATACCCCAGTAATTACATGTTTTTTATTGAGTATGTTGTTTTATGGTAACATATGGTGGGATGTTTAAGTTAATGGGAAGGGGTCATCGGTTTAGTTACCTTAGTGGGAATGAAAAGGAGCTAGAAAAACTGTATTGGGTGATTCTTTTAACCCCTTTCATAACTGCAAAAATAATTTTTTTTTTTTTTTTTTTAAATGTAATATGAGAACAGAAGGTTGAACTGCAAAAATAACTTTTTAATTTTTTATTTAAATGTAATATTAGAACAGAAGATTGAACCTATAATTAAGTCATATAAAGCTAGCACGAGAGCGAATTTGAGAGCTGGAGCGCAAAAACGGCAAAATTAAATCATAAATAATGATAATTTGAGCGAGAGCGCATGTAGAGTGGAAGCGTGCTCAGAACGTGAGAGCGACATCCGTTACAAAAAATTGTGTGACTTAGACCTAGAACTTGAGTGGTTGATCACTACCTGTCCAAGCCACCAAAATCACAAACTTGATTGTTCTACTTCAATTATTCTTTTCAAAGAGTTCAGACAAATCTTGACTCCTGCCAACCATATTCTTACAACTCAGAGTCCTCCCACTCAAAGTCTTGGCCAAAGAAGGCAACAATCAAAATCAAACTTATTTTGTAATTTGAATGGGAAGGTGTCTTTGGTTGAGTGGTTACTTTAGTGGGAATGAAAATGAGGAAGAAAATTTGCATTGGGTGATTTGACCTTTTAACCCCTTTCATAATTGCAAAAATAATTTTTTATTTTTTATTCTAAATGTAATATGAGAACTGCAAAAATAATTTTTTAATTTTAAATGTAATATTAGAACAGAAGGTTGAACCTAGAGTTAAGTCACATAAAGCGGGAGTGGGAGCGAGAGCGAATTTGAGAGCGAAAGCGCAAAAATGACAAAATTAAATCATAAATAGTGAAAATTTGAACTAGAGCGCGTGCAGAGTGGAAGCGCGTTCAGAGTGTGAAAGCGACACCCGTTACGAAAGATTGTGTGATTTAGAGTTCGAGCTTGTGTGAGAGCGACACTCATTACGAAAGATTGTGTGACTTAAACATAGAGCTTAGAGTGTATGACCATTGCCTAACCAAGCCACCAAAATCACAAACTTGATTGTTCTACTTCAGTTATTCTTTTCAAAGAGTTCAAACAAATCTTGACTCATTCCAACCATATTCTTTCACTTCTTGAGTCCTCCCACTCAAAGTCTTGACCAAAGAAGGCAACAATCAAAATCAAACTTATTTTGTAATTTGAATGGGAAGGTGTCTTTGGGGTTGAGTAGTTACTTTAGTGGGAATGAAAAGGAGGAAGAAAAACTGTATTGGGTGATTTGACCTTTTAACCCCTTTCATAACTGCAAAAATAATTTTTTAATTTTTTTTTAAATGTAAAATGAGAATAAAAGGTTGAACTGCAAAAATAATTTTTTTATTTTTTATTTAAATGTAATATTAGAACAGAAGGTTAAACCTAGAGCCAAGTCACATAAAGCGGGAGTAAGAGAGAATTTGAAAGCGGGAGCACAAAAACGGTAAAATTAAATCATAAATAGTTAGAATTTGAGCGAAAACGCGTACAGAGCGGAGGCACGCTCAGATCGTAAGAGCGACACTCTTTACGAAAGAATGTGTGACTTAGACCTAGAGCTTAGATTGTTTGACCACTGCCTGTCCACGCCACCAAAATCACAAACTTGATTGTTCTACTTCAATGATTGAAAAGAGTTCAAACAAATCTCGACCCCTTCCAACCATATTCTTACAACCCTCGAGTCCTCCCACTCAAAGTCTTGACCAAAGAAGGCAACAATCAAAATCAAACTTATTTTGTAATTTGAAGCGGTTGATTGGATAGAACTTTCAAGGCAACATCATTGGTATTGGCTACAGGAGTTCCATGATTGATCGGTAGAGGCAAAGCTGCTTTACAAGCTCAACAACTGCTATAAAAGAGGAAAGGGACACCAATAATTATGCAACTCGAACTACAACCAAAAAATACAGGTTAGGAAAGATCATCCTGTCCACTTTGCCCAGAAAAGAAAAAAAGAAAAAAGAAATCATCCTGCAAAGCAATATTACCATTGCTTTTCCTATGGGGCTGTCAACGGACCATCTTCCTGGAAGAATGCAAGACCTACGCGACATGCCGCCAGCAGCTTCATGTCATTGACCGTTTCAAGGCAAGGTTGCACAACCAAGAGTCCTAATTTTAGCAATTTCACATGATGCACATTTCCCGCTAGATTAACACATTGGCGTATTTGTTCATCAAGGTAAATAACTAATCAAATGATGCAACACTTCTGTTCAGTACAAGAACTAAACAACACAATTAGGCCCACTTAAAATATAACTTAGATTGTGAGTTTATGGTATAGAATTTGATAATGTGTCTAGATTAAAATTCATGGATGTTATTCCAAAGAAAATGTGTCACATGAGGATAACCATCTGCAATTAACATAACAAAGAAACGAAAACCATCTGGAGTTTGAATAACAAAGTCATAATGCAGAGTAAGAGTACCACTGATGAATACTTTGACCTAGCTCACTTCTTCTCAGTGTTGTTCTCCAGTTCCCTCTTAAGCTGCAGAGAAAAGTCATCATTTACATCATCATCATCCCAGTCGTCTTCCCACTGCTGATTTACTTCTTTTCCTTCTTCTTTGTCCACCCACTCTGCATTGTTACCATTATTATCAGTGAAAAGAAGATTAAAACACAAGACCGCCAAGCATTAGCTTGAGAGAACCTCTCAAAAAGAAAGTCCAGGGTTCAAGTCCTAAAAGGGACAAAGTGTAAGGGTATCTTACCTACCCACCCACACGCGCACACCCAAAAAAAAAAAAAAAGCAAGTTGAGCGTTCAAGTCCCACAAAAAAAAAAAAAAAACACACCAGATTCAGAACACAGGAATAACATATGTTTTTTCAATTAGCAAAGAAACAAAATAACAGGTGTTGCCATAATCTGGTATTTAATTAACCAGCAAAACACAGCGAGGCTTGCATGTATAACTGACTCTGAAACCAATCACAGTAAGTAATCCATTTAGTTGTCAAACTTCAACATCACAATAAGATGAAAGCAGGGGAAAAGAAGTGAAATCAAGACCTATGATTTGTAGACAGAAGGGTGTCACGCATTATTGTCATCACTGCAATGCCCTAAAATTGAGGCACGGTAACACAACTGCACATTCATGTGGATCTGGATATATATTATGTGCATTTTTCAATATCTTAAATAATTGAATTCCCAATTTTCATTTATCCTGCATTACTTAGAGTTGCTATTCAATCAGGGTGAAATTTATCTTTGACAAGTACTAATAATGGTGAATTTGAGAAAAAAAAAGGCCAAAGGCCATCTGCAGATATAGAAAATGAGGGCATATAAAACTACTAATAATTTAATACCCTATCCAAAAGCTGCTTCCCTTCACTTGGGCCTCCCATCTAAGCCAGCACAGTCTCAAGCCATGTATAGGGTTCAGATACCCAAATACACACATGTATATGTATATTTTTCTTGTACAAAAAGAACAGAGCAAATTTGGTCTTGAAAGCGCCCCACGCGAAAAGACTCTCTCTCTCTAAACATGAAGTAGATAATATGTATTATATTTTCTCTCTGTTTAACTTTCTTAGAAGAAAATTCTCTCTAATGCACAGCCCTCGCCCCAAACACGAAGGAGATAATATGTCTTTCTTTTTCTCTCTTTTACTTTCTGAGAAGTTGACTCTCTCTTCCTTCTAACAATAGACACAGTCATCCCTCTCCCTCACCAAACATGAAGGAGATCACCTGCCTTTCATTTTCTCTCTTTTACTTCCTCGTAGAGTCTATCTTTCCCTCTCTCTCTCTCTCTTCTCCCCTCACAAACATGAAGGGGATCATCTGTCTTACATTTTCTCTCTTTTACTTTCTTGGAAGGTGCCCTATCACTTCCTTCTAACAATTCATGCCCTACGAATCCAAACTTATACAAATATGTGTGGTTCTCTTGTAGGGCCATCACCAATATATCATAGTTGGAGAGATGAAAATTTTATATGGCAAACTTGTCACCAGAACAATTGAACTAACATATGAGCAAAGAATCTCAACACTTCTTTTATGAGCGTACGATATGAAAACAATGTTATAGTTACTAGTGCCTTGCCTACATAGAAAAAGAAGAAGGTAACAAAAAACAATGACGCATCTCTCCCTCGAGTAATAAAACTACAGTAGTTCAAAATTGTATTTCAAAATCGAGAAAGAGCTTTTCTACACTAGCCGAGAGGACTAGCACTGTGGAGTTAAATGTCATCAAATATTGCAACTTATGTCGTGTCATAAATACTCTACTTTTGTGCATGTTCTTGCAATCATTTTATGATAGAGCCGAAAAAGATACCCATATTGAAGCAGAGATTCTATCATTCAATGCATTAAATGGAGATCTATGAAGAACAAATACCTATATAACGGGACTTACACATATTGTGTCAGTGTCAAATATTGAAACTCTTCTGATACTCGTGGATACGTGTCTGATACTTTCTAAACGTATCCAAAATTTGAAAACTACTTTAATTAGGGTAAACTACACTGACGTCCCTTATGCTCGGTTCGGTAGGAAAGAAAAAATTTGGATGGAATGAAGAGAAAAAGGAATGGATGAGACATCACTAGGAAGAGATTATGTATTTCCTTCTTTTTGTTCGGTTGAGTAGAAGAGAAGAGAATAAATTCATAATTTACTATGTTCGTTAGGATAGAAGGAAAGAGAAAATTTTAACTATTTTTACCATTATATCCAATAATATTTATAATATTGTAATTTATAGAGGATAATATTGATTTAAAACTTGTATAAATTAGGATAATATTTAATTTAAAACTTCTATAATAGTCCACTTGTCTTCCCTCCATTCTTCCACCCATTTTTGGGCGGATGAAAATTTGTAGAGGAGGAAGGATGAGTCATCCTTCCTATTCTCTTTTCTTTCCTTGTATCATCTCTACTGAATAAAGAAAATTAGTCACTTCCTTCCTATTTTCTCTCCACACCTCTTCTTTCCTTCCTACCGAACACAGCATTAAGGTTTGGCCTAATTACACACGCGTTCATTGTTTGGCCAATATTAATCCGACCTCCGTTATTGCTGTTAGTGAGGTTACGGAAGTTAAGTAATACTATGAAATGTCTTTCATATCCATATCTAATTTTAAAATGTTTTATTTTAAAATAAAAAAAATTTATCAAACCAAGAGAATATATTAGCCCCATTTTTTCTGTAAATACTATATTAGCCTACTGGCCCCACTAGTAACCAAGCCCTAAAACTTCCATTTTATGCTCTCTCTCTCTCTCTCTCTCTCTCTCCCCCTCTCCTCAACCTCCTCCCACCACTTCCACCACCATCACCACCATGGCAACCCCAACTCTCTTATCCCCTCTTCTCTCTTCTCTCCCCCAATTGCATATTCAAATAGTACAAGCCAAACCCTAGACCCGCGGCACTTCAATCTCAGATCTTTCAAATCTGATCGAGCGGTTGTTGGTGGGGTTGGTTTGATAGTGGGTTGATGGCAGTGAAAGGATTGGCTCATCTAAATGTTATTTACGTTATGAAGTTATGGGTTGTGACGTTGACGAATGTAAATCATACTATCATAGAGCCATCATATGTGGTGGTGGATTTGGGTGTGATTTTTGTTTTCGGGTTTGGCAATTTGACAATACAAATATAAGAGATGGGGCTTGACAATGACTGCATCCTTGTTAAAATATAAGAGATAAAAAAAATAAATAATTTTTTTTTTGATAAGTAAATTGTATTAAAAGCGTTCAAAAGGGGAACGCGTCCCAAACTATACAAAGACAAAACGGAGCTTATGAACTCAAAGAGCTCAAAAAATCAACAATATCCTCAAGAGAGGAGTAGTCTCTCCCCTGACCCCAACAAAACAAATTACAAATGATAGAAAATTTTAACACCCCAATGGAGGATTCCTTTCCCTCAAAAGATCTTCCATTACGCTCTCTCCAAAGGCTCCACCAAATACAAAAAGGGGTCACCCTCCAAAAAACTCTAGCATGAGCCCCCACCCATTGGCCCTCCACATATCTAACACCTCCCGAGATGACCGAGGCATGACCCAATGAATACCAAACAGGCCAAACATCAAACTCCAACAATAATGAGCCACAGGACAGTGCAACAAAAGATGATCCACCGACTCCCCATTAATCTTGCAAAGACAACACCTATTAACAATGATATGCCTTCGCTTCCTCAAATTGTCCAAAGTCAAAATCTTACTCCAAGCTGCAGTCCACACAAAAAAGGCCACCCTAAGAGGCGCCTTAGACCTCCACACCGTCTTCCATGGGAATGAGGTACCATGAAAACCAGAAAGGCACACAAATAAATAATAAAAACCAAAATTTCAAAAATCTTCGACCTCATAAAATGTGCATCCTCATTATGCCAGTTCAGTGATCTGAACCATGTTATAAAAGACCACTAATTGAAACTCAAACATGTAAATTTAAGACTATCACAAATTGAAGCAAGCCTTCAGTATGAGTAGGAGCCGCTGTATTCCTTTCCTGAAAGCAATCCGAATATGTTGAGTTCATCATCATTATCCTCATTCCATCAACATTTATAATATATATACATATTAAATAAAAGATATACTTATATAAGTGATAATTAGAACAATAAAAATTATTAACATATTCATATTTGGGAGAAGAAGAAACCATCAGAAACATTGGATCATTGCATCAGTTCTGACACTTTGAGGTGTCTCAGACGACCGTCGTGAGAAATTTAATCCAAACTCATCATTTGGTTTCATTGTTTCGATAAAATCATATACTAGAGAGAAAAAAATAATACATATATGCATTTGTGTGTGTGTGTAAACAAAGGGAGAGAAGGTGAGAGAAAATCAAATGCACAGCTCGCCATTAATGTAAATATAAGTGCTTGATTAATTTTGATTAATCTAAATAAGATAATTATGTAAGTTGAAATTTTTCAAATTTAATCGAAATGTAATTAACAAAAAATTGATTTCGTAAAATTTTTTTTTTTTTTTTTTGATAAGTAAAAATATATTTGAAAAACGTTCAAAAAGGGAACGCGTCCCTAATACAAGAAGAAAAAAGATCTAAGGACCAATAGCATCCAAAAGATCAAAGAAATCATCAATCGAGGAGCATGCGCTTCCTCTTACATAACAAAACAAAGAACGAAGAATATGAATTTTTAAATTAGATAAAGACGATTCTTTTCCTTCAAAGGTCCTGTTATTCCTCTCACGCCATAAACACCACAAGACACAATGTGGAACAATCCTCCAACATTCACGAGCTTGTTCTTTAACAAGACATCTTCTCCAGGCGTTAATCAATTGTGAGGAGTGCTTAGGCATTACCCAAAAAAAGCCAAACATGCCAAAAATAAAACTCCAACAATCATACACCACAGGGCAATGCAAAAGAATATGATCCACGGATTCACTGTCTGCTTTACAAAAACAACACCAATTAACAATGATGTTGCCTCTCTTTCTCAAGTTGTCCAATGTCAAAATCTTTCCCAATGTGACAATCCAAACGAAGAATGCAATTCTAAGAGGAGCTTTAGAACGCCAAACAGACTTCCATGGGAACTCGTGACCAACGAAGTTGGACAAACAAAAAAACATGGATCGGACACCATACCTACCATGAGCTAAAGGAACCCACAAAATATCATCACACCCTCTGCCAATATCCTTCTACCTATACAACGTATCCAAAAAAACACAAGCTTCCTCCATTTCCCAATCCTGAAAGGGCACCTAAAATGCACATCCCACGTAACTCCATTGTTATCAAGTTGATAACAATCAATTAAATAGACATGCTTATTGACTGCAATACTGTAAAATCTAGGAAAGGAGTGAGACAGCAACTGATCTCCGCACCAAAGGTACTCCCAAAAACGGACATGTCTGCCATCACGAACTTTGAATCGAATATGTGAGGAGAAAACATCACATCCCTTCCGAATGAATTTCCACAAACCAACACCTCCCGTAATAGTAACTGGGAGAGAGGACCAGCCCCCATTCTCCTCACCAAAACGACACGAGACAACTCTTCTCCACTAGCGATGGCGTTCCTTTCTAAATCTCCATAACCACTTTCCCAAGAGAGCATGATTAAAAGGAACCATTTTTCGAATGCCTAACCTGCCTAACCTCAACGGTTGGCAGACTTGACCCAATTAACAATATGATACTTAAACTCCTCTCCCCTTCCACCCCAAAGAAAATCCCTCTGAATTTTTTCAATCCTTTCAGCAACAGAGCGTGAAATTTGAAACAAAGATAAAAAGTAGGTAGGAAGGAACGAGAGAGTACTCTTAATGAGTGTGACTTTCCCCCCCTTAGAAAATACTATTTTTTCCATCCAACTAATCTTTTCTCATATCTATTAATCACTGGGTCCCAATTCCCAACTCGCATAGAAGAAACTCACAAAGGCAATCCTAAGTAAAGAAGAGGAAAAACACCAACTCCACACCCTAGGACAACAGCTAAGGAGGAAATATCTGGAACATCCCCCACTGGAACAAGCACACTCTTTCCAACATTAATCTTTAGCCCAGAAACCGTTTGGAAGCAAGCAAGAATGCACCTCAGTTATCTGAGTTGAGAAACTTCGGCATCACAAAAAACCAAAATATCATCTGCGAACAACAAATGGGAAATCTACATCTGATGATCAACATCTCTGCCAACTCTGAACCCTCTGATGTAACCCAAATCTTCCGCTTTTCTCATTAATCTGCTCAGACCTTCCATGACAATAAGGAAAAGAAAAGACGATAATGGGTCTCCTTGTCTCAGACCGCGTGAGCTAGCAAAAAAACCCGCAAGTGAACCATTCACTAGCACAGAGAACATAACTGACAAGATACAAGTTTCAATCCATCTTATCCACCTGTCTCCAAACCCCATCCTCCGAAGATGATACAGAACAAACTTCCAATTAGCATGATCATAAGCTTTCTCAATATCAAGCTTACACAAAACGCCAGGAACTCCACTTTTCAATCTAGAGTCAACACATTCCCCTGCGATGAGAACAGAATCCAAACTCTGCCTTCCACCAACAAAAGCATTCTGTGATTCTGAAATGAGACCATCCAAAACATTACTCATCCTAGAGAGAAGAACCTTGGCAATAAGCTTATACAAAAATCCAATTAAGCTAATTGGCCGAAAGTCCTTAATATCAAAGGCACCGCCCTTTTGGGAATGAGAGCAATAAAAGATGCGTTCAATGATTTCTCAAATGTGCCATGAGAATAAAAATCCTGAAAGGTGCCCATCACCTCAGCACGCACCACCTCCCAACTCTCCTTAAGAAACCGCATAGTAAACCCATCTGGCCTGGCGCTTTGTCCCCATTACAGCTAGAAAGTGCCTTAAGCACTTCCTCCTCCGTGAATGGAATCTCGATCTTATTACTATCCAACTCAGAAATAAAATTAAAGGGAAGACCATCAAGAGTAGGTCTCAAACCCAAAGTCTCAGTATAGAGCTGCTGATAAAAAGAAATGATTCCTCCGTGCACCTCATCCTCTCTCCACAACTCAGAACCATTGACCCGGATACGCCCGATGTGATTACATCTTCTGTGAGCGTTGGCAAGTCTACGGAAGAATTTTGTATTATGATCCCCGTCTTTTAACCACAATGCCCGAGACTTTTGACGCCACGAAATCTCCTCCATAAGAGCAATCTCAGCAAAAATCGCTTGGCAAGAGGCCCTTTTAGAGCATAATGACTCCCCATTCTGTCCCACCTCATCAAGACGATCGAGCTAAGCAATATCAGCAAGAACTCTATTCTTCTTCCATTCAAGATTCCCAAACACTTCTTTATTCCACCTCTTTAACTCAGTTTTAAGAAATTGAAACTTTCTAGCTAACACAAAACTAGCAGCGCCAGTAAAACTAGCTTCCTCCCACCAAGACTGAACTTTCCCTTGGAAGTCCTCGGATCTTAGCCACATATTTTCAAAGCGGAAAGGTGTGCGTCTAGAACTCAAACCACCACAATCAAGAACTAAAGGCACATGATCAAATGTCACTCTAACTAGAACAGCCTGAGAGACATCCGGGAAATGCTCTTCCCACGCCCCATAAATCAGAAATCTATCCAACCGGGAAAAAGTAACCGGTTCCCTATCATTAGACCAAGTAAAGGCTTCTCCTTCCAACAGTAGATCAATAAGAAAATGACTATCAATGAATTTTGAAAACATGGTCATTTCAGAGGACCACCTGCCCCTGCGGACCTCTCAAACGGGGACCTAACAGAATTAAAATCCCCGCCCAAACACCAAGGCAAAGACCACAATTCGTTAACATAGCAAAGCTCTTCCCACAGGACTGGTCTATCACCATCAATAACAGGCCATAAACACCTGAAAACACCCATCTGAAATTGTCTTCCTCCATCTGAAACAGACATGACATAGAGAAAATACCCTTCCAACAATTCAAACTTGACAACCACCTTCGATCCCACATGAGAAGAATACCACCTGAAGTGCCAAAGGCGTTCAGCACTTCACATTCCACAAATCTTCCTCCCTAAAGACTCCTAACAATCGCAACGGTGATAGAAGCCATCTTAGTTTCCTGTAAACAAACGACATGAGCACTCCACTTCCTCAGAGCTACCTTGACAACCCTTCTTCTATTCGAATCATTTAGACCACGAACATTCCATGTTATAAGTCGTAGCTTCATGAAGAACCAAAAACGATCAATTCTCCTCCTGCTCCCCATTTACCACTTCTAGTTCTTCCCCCTTCTTTGGTCGTCCCATTCTTCCCGTCATAATTAACACAAGAAATCAGATTCTTCACTTTCTATTCGCCTTTTTGTTTTCTGGTTTTGACTTCTTTTGTGCCACGATTAGGTTCAGTACTATCATTTCCTGCAACTATTTCGTGAAGAATAGACAAGGTTTGTTCAACATAACCTTCTGAAGAGACACCTAAAGCTTCACTTACTTGCTCCAATGTTCTCAATAATCTATTCCATACCCAAATCATTGGTGGTCTCCAAACAATCTGGCCGCACAACTGCCAAAGGTTCCATAAAATCCACTTCAGATTGATCAAAATCCGTCCAGGAAAGAGAATCATTAGAACAGTGCTACTGAGAAGGAAAATCAACCACTCCTAACTGCATATTCCCATCTGTTTCCGAATTATCTTGTTCAGCTGAAATATTTACCTCATTCGCAGATGGTTGACTGTTCAAACCTTCAAACACAGCAAAGAGCCGAAGCTCTTTAAGCAGAGCTACAGCTGATTCATTATTCAGTTTGAAGTGCAGATCTTTCCCAACGCAGACTGTCACTCCATTGAAACAACCTACACTCCCAGTTGTGGCTTTTGAGACATCCAACGCTGACCCATCACACCATGAACCTGAAGACCCAAGAAGACCCCTCTGTTTATTCGAAACAACCTCCACAACATCCCTAGTTCTCACCACTCCACACCAAAAAGAAGAAGTAGAAGTAGAGAGAGCATTTTGAGAATGATCAGAACTCAAACCTAAAAATGAAGCGTGAGGTCGTGCAACCCATTTCTGTTTTTCAGTCCGAGTCCACCGAGATCCATGGCGACTGACATCCATCATCCTCCGCTCAAGTTTAAGCTTAGACAAATGAGTTAAAGGCTTAGCATGGGCTTGGACTTCTTTAAATGGCTTAGGGCCTGATTTGGTGTTTGGGAAAGAGATAGATAAAGAGTTTGGCCCTTTTCGCACCGTTCTGTT